TGTGAGACAATCAGAATGACCACTTTGTGTAGCTTTACATCACATTAGCATGACGCCGTTAGCATTGGTTAGCATTAGCGTGCCTGTTTAAAGGAAGTTTTTCCTTGCCTGTGTCGCCTAGTGCTTGCTCATGGTGGGAATTGTTGGGTTTCTGTGATTAACTTCAGAGTAGGGTCTGACCTGCTCTGTTTGGAAAGCTGTGAGACATTTGTGTAGCTTTACGTCACATTAGCTTGCAGCCGTTATCATGGGTTATCATGGGTTAGCATGGGTTAGCATTAGCGCTCTAAACTGCTCCTCTTCCTCCTGTAGCTGGCGATGAAGACGCGGTGCACGGGGATGATGTTCGTGGTGGCGCAGAGCAACGAGCCGTCGGTGCAGTTCTATAAGCGGCGCGGCGCGGAGGACCTGTCCCAGGAGGAGGGCTGGAGGCTGTTCCGCTTCGACAAGGACAGCCTGCTCAAGATGGCCACCCGCGCAGAGGAATGACGCCGGGGGGGCGGCGGCGGGGGGGGGGCGGAGCCACAGGGCCCCCGGGACGCCGCCGGGGCTGATGGGAGTCCGGCTTAGTCTGCCAGTGGTTCAGTTTAGGCTCAACTTCTGTTAGTGTATCATTTTTATTTTTTTAATAGATGTTTGTTTTCAGTAAAGAGATCAGGTTTTTTAGGCTCAACTTCTGTTAGCGTATCATTTTTATTAGCTTTTTATAGATGTTTGTTTTCAGTAAATGGATCAGGTTTAGGCTCAACTTCTGTTAGCGTATCATTTTTATTATTTTAATAGATGTTTGTTTTCAGTAAATAGATCAGGTTTAGGCTCGACTTCTGTCAGTGTATCATTTTTATTATTTTTTTTTAGATGTTTGTTTTCAGTAAAGAGATCAGGTTTAGGCTCAACTTCTGTTAGTGTATCATTTTTATTTTTTTAATGTTTGTTTTCAGTAAATAGATCAGATTTAGGCTCGACTTCTGTTAGTGTATCATTTTTATTTTTTTAATAGATGTTTGTTTTCAGTAAATAGATCAGGTTTATTTTAACCTTATGTTGGCAGATCATGTTTATTCTCAGCTTTTGTTGGTAGATCTGGTTCATTTGAAGCCTTTTTTATTATTATTTGTTTTATAGATGTTTGTTTTCAGTAAAGAGATCAGGTTTAGGCTCAACTTCTGTTAGTGTATCACGTTTATTCTCAGCTTTTGTTGGTAGATCTGCTTCATACTAATCTTTTTTTTATTTTATTTTTTTAGTGGATGTTTGTTCTAAACTTTTGTCAGTAAATAAGGTTCATTCTAACCTTATGTTGGCAAT